AATTAGAAATTTGGAAACCCCCTCCAATTGCTTTCACCAGAGGAAAGAAAGAACGGTGAACGAATCGCCGGGGGATAAGCAGCTAAACACTCGGCCTCGCGGCGTGATCCGAGGAAGAAGGAAAGAAAGGAGGAAAGGATCCGACGATTACATTTCGAGCTGCGCGGAGTAACTGGCATAACGAAGGACCGTAGGAAGGATAGCCGAGAAATTAATTCAACTCGACCATCTTTTTTCCCCTTCCGTGCCATCTCGAGGGAGCAACTGGCTGCCTCTTTGAAGAAGGGCCAATAAGATCGTCCCGGGGACCTCCTCTCCCTGTCCTTGGGGATAAGACCAGCACTCAGCCGAACTAAACTATCAGATCTCTTCGCGAGATTGACCGCGCAACCGCGACTGAACTAATTTTTCCTATTCCTTGTCGGGCCTCGTTCCTTGCGATGGTCGTTGGTTCACGCTTGAATCATTCGATGGAGTGTGAGGTGTGATCGGAAGGACAATAAAAGGATGTACGAAACGATTATGAGGATGATAAAGGTATACAACAGTGTTGAAGGAAAAGTGTTTTAGAAAATGGATTAGGTATAAGGTGTGAAGGATGATTATGAAGGAGATAAAGGTAACATCATCGAAGGAAAGGTATTTCATAAAATGAATTAAGTATGAGGTGTGATGGAAAAGGTAATTAAAGGATGTGAATTAAAGGATTTTGTTCGAAAAAATGAGTTATGCATTTGAAAAAGTGTTTGTAGGATTGAAAATAACTGTAGCGTTGTATTTAAGGGAGACTAGTTTGTGAAGGATTACATCAGTACTGATGGATAAATGAACTTTACGACTATAAAGGAAATAAGGGTAAAATAGTTGAAGCTTCTGAAAGCTATTTCAAAAAATCGGAACCAGTAATGTATCCAGGATTGAAAATACAAAGCAAAAGAAGTTATAGAACGCTGTAACACAGCGTTGTGTAATTGTCAGTTCACAATTTTTTGTTTAGTTACATGTGTTAACCTTAATTGTACAAAGGTTCCAGTGTTTATTGTAATATTTTTCATCGAAAAGCAAAGACCGTTGTTCATCGAACAAGCGATCAAATATTATTCCGCTTTTTTCTCGCTCAATAGGCTATTCAATTTTATTTCACTAGCAGCAGTGATTAAATTTTATTCAATCCCCTGAAACGGTGAACGGGGAATCCTTGTAAATGATGAATCGCACTTTCGAGAATGATGCTTCGTGTTCACTTTCTGGGAAACATATCTTTCCAGGGCAATGCTGTCGTATAAGAACTTCTTTCGCAATGTAAAAATTACTAAAACTAATTCCACTAAGAAACACAAGAACAATGTAAACTACTTAATTTATATTTTGAATATAATTTTTCTTTAATAGAAACTCAATTCAATTTCTTTCAACTCTTTCAGCTTTTGTTGCGATCCAATTCCAGTTGTATTCTTCCAACTGTATTCTTGGATACAGTTCAAAGTTCCAAATTTTCTAAATGCCTCACTAAAATTTCCTACAATTCAAAGTTCCAAATTCTCCAAATATTTTAAGAATTTAACATTCCAAACTCTCCAAATACTTTACTAAAATCCACTAAAATTCAAAGTCCCGAATGTTCTAAACACTTCAACGATTTACTAAAATTCATAGTCCCAAGGTTTCCAAATACTGTACTAAAACGTCCCAGCATCCAAACTTCAAAATCCTCTAAACGCTTCAATATAATTTACCAGAATCCACAATCCCAAATTCTCCAAACACTTCAACAAAACTGTACCAAAATCCACAGTCCCTTTCCCAAATACACCCCGACATTT